ATACCATTTTCATGTAAACCTATAGTTCAACTAAATATTTTTGTACATCCTATATAAATGTATTATTTTAATGTTAGTGCTTATGTAAATATATATATATACATACATATATACGTGTTTACACATTTTAAATCTCAATGTTTGATAAAAAAAAAAACGCTGTTCTAGTATAAGTAAAAAATTATCTTAAAAGGAAAAAAAAAATGCTGTAAGCGATCAGTGCAATGAAACTTAACACAACAAAAAAAAAAATGAAGTATGTATGTAGTATAAATAAATTATTAAGCTTATTTAATTTTATATAAATGTATACTGTAAACGGAAACGCAAAGCCCAACTAAAAATACTATGTACTTTAAAAAAATAAATATTAAATTTTGTTATATTTTACAAAACAAAATAAATATTATTTATACGTATTAATATTATTAAGTATAAAGTTTTTAATTATGTAAATTATTTAATAAATTAATTTCCTTGCTGGAATACGTGTACGCGGATTATCAATCACGCCAAGATAAACGCAAATGTGAATGCAAATTCGTTGAGTTTTATTTTGTTATTGCTCATATAAATTGTTTCTGTTTTGATTTTAAGTTTAATTTTAAGATAACAATTGTACCATTCCGTATAGAGATAACTTAATTAAATTGTGATAAGGGGACGTACACATGTAGTCTAGTTATTGGTACCGGTGGTATCAAATGCTTATGCAAGTTTCCAAAATAAATATAAATACACGGTTAGTCAAAGTAATTATCAATTATAATATCAGCTCCCAACCTACCCAGCCCCTACTATCACTGCATTCTGTTTAATCATTAAAAGTTTAAAGTTCTTAGAAATATTAACATTTTTTTCAATATTAAATTATTAGTTTTTGATTTATGTATATTAATTTGTATTGTGCTGATAATAGCTTCTGAAAAGTCAATCAAGATCAAAATTCATAATGAACTGATTAGTGATGTGGTACCATGAAAATTATTTATAAACTCACGTTTGACAGTAGCAATTGTAATACCAAATATTCCTCTGTATGTTCATGCCTGATAGATAAGAAACAGAGGTGGGCTACACACTAAGTTCTAAAAACAGACATGTATAATATTATTAGCGGACACTAAAATCTATAGATAAGAAACAGAGGTGGGCTACAAACTAAGTTCTAAAGACAGGCATGTATAATATTATAAGTGAACACTACAATTTATAGATAACAAACAGAGGTGGGCTACACACTAAGTTCTAATGTCAGATATGAACATAATTCAGGCGGAACCTAAAATTTATATATAAACTTATGTTGGGCAGAAGCAGTAGATGACACTAAAATTTATAGATAGCAAACAGAGCTGGACTACTCACTAAGTTCTAACACCAGATATCAAAATAATTCAGGCGGAACCTAAAATTTATATATAAACTTATGTTGGGCAGAAGTAGTAGTGATACTAAAAACTTCTTAGATATGAAATCGCCTTCTGTATGTTTAATGCCTGTTAGAGAACAAACAGAAGTGGGCTACTCACTAAATTTAACTGGATAACATTGTATTTACAATGTTAGCAGGCGGTCTCCAAAACTTATTTATGATCTGAAAATTTAGTTAAGTACATTATGACATTATTAAATTATCGTTACCGAGAGGAACTTTAAATAAAACTCTCAATATAAGTAATATGGTATAACTTCAATTCAATACTATATACAATAGTAGCAGCAGTGATACCAAATATTTCTCTGTATAGTTATGTCTGATAGATAATAAACAGAAGTGAAACACTCATCATGTTTTCATAGCAAAGCATTTGCTAGAAGTGGCGAATAAATCTATGAATTCTGTAATGTTGAAATTAAAGGCAGCTTTTATAATAAAAAAAACTCTTTCCAGGTCAATATATAAGCATCATTGTAGGTTATTGGAGCAGTCGACCTTGCATACCGAAGCCACTCGTCCATTTCGACGATTTAATACCGCTCACTGACTACTCTTAACAGGGACTAAATACATGAATATCTGCCGATTCCATAACAGCAGCACTGTTTTCGGAGTACGCCTAATATGGATGTTTGGGCATAATGATACTGATGCACATTGCAGTATCGATGAATTAATCAGACAGGGTATTTGGTTGCAGGGGTTCATCGACAAATAATCTTTTATTCTTTAGTCTTTCAGAAAGACTGTCAAAAAAATGTTTTCACTAAAAGTCTGTTTCTGTTATTAAAGCTGGGTAGTCACAAAAAGAGTGTGTATTTATGTTTTTTTCGTCAAAGTTTTCGCAACTTCCACAAAAACCGTTGAATAAAAGGTATCTCTGTATAGGATTCTATACATTAGTAACCTGAATAAACTGCAATACACCTAATATTGTGAACTCGGTCCCTGCTAATAAGTTCCCTAACCCTGGGCTTCAAGATGAACCTCGATGTTTTATATTTTGTGAGTGGCTTCCACATATTTAAATTAGCTAGAGAAAAATAGAGATAGACGAACGTACGCCCATAGAACGGCATCCATAGAAACGTCAAGACAGGCTAAACTGGCGACATTTTCATTTTTTTTAAATGTTCTTATAATTGAGAACCCATATGGGATTGCTATCCGCTAGTCGATTTATCCTTTCGATTTCTGTTCTATATTCTCTTACTGGTTTTGATTTAAATTTTAAACTTTGAAATGCTTTAATTGTCGTTTGGGTGCCAATGAAAATGACAATCTTATATCTTAGCTTGATGTAGCTTGCAATTAACTGACATGCTTACCTAATAGGTAAGACTTCAGTCTGAAAAACTTTATCTTTAATATATTAGGCAACTGAAGAAATTAATATTTGCGAATGGTGAAAATATTTCTACACGTACCTTGAATTCCATTTTTAAGTGGTTTGTCAAATAAAATATTATATTTCATTTTAAAGGTTGTTCTTTCTCACTCATTTCTTGACGGAAATATTACCGTAAAGTAATCTTCGAAACAAAAATAAGGGTTAGGATAGTCTGCTGTAATTCTCTACAGTTAATTTTAAACTGTGTCTAGAAATCGACAATGTCCGTATGTGACCGAAACTACAATGACCGAAACTACATAGAACAAAATCAAAGAAGGACGAGAAAGAAGCTGTGCGCAATACCTTGTCCGGAGCTGATCAATTCTAGTCAGAACCTGAGTTTCTACAATCACTTTGAAGGCAATTATGACTTTAATGTCTTGGTTATTTAAAGGTCTATGTAAACTTTTATTATAAAAACAGTTTTCTAGTCATTATATGTACATTTTTTATACATACATATAACAACTGTATTCGAAGTAATTTGTTATGGATCATGTAAACGTAGTTACAAAATCATTTATTATAGAAAATCGTCTTCTATAATATATTTATTATTTTATTTTGCAGTTTTATATAATGGATATATTTGCAGTTGATACATTAAGACTGAAAAGTTTTCGGAAATTCTCATTTAAAATTCGCGCGCTGTATATTTTTCGATATTTTAAGTTTATGTAGTTTGGCAGCACTTTCCTTAATTACTATGCCAAAAATGAGCGCGATCTGTCAGACAGTTCGTTTACGGCAGCTGTTGAAACCAGTTCACCTCAGTAGTGCGTTGCGAAATGTCTTCGACGGTCGTACGACCGTCCTGAAAGGCTTTTTGTACACTCATAAACTTGAGTTTTCGATAAAACTGATTCCCCATAAGCCTTTTGTAGCATTCGCAACGATTCTGCACACGAAATTTCGTTCGAAACACAAAATTTGATGCAAACTCTTTGTTCAATATTTTTTTTCCATTGTTTTTTTCGCAACGCACTACTGAGGTGAACTGGTTTCAACCGCTGCCGTAAACGAACTGTCTGACAGATCGCGCTCATTTTTGGCATAGTAATTGTCCTTAATTGCTGCCAAACTACATAAACTTAAAATATCGAAAAATATACATACTGGAACAGTTCGGTTCACGTGGAAACAGAGATCTGAATGGAGGTTTAGTGGTGAGCTCACATCAACGTAATAATTAAAATATCTCCTAAATTGTAAACATTAATAGCTTTTCACTCTTTTGTGACGTCAAAATAATCATTCTCCGTCAAAACAAGCGATCAAATAGATTACTGCGGTTTATAAAAAAAAGTCATCCTTTTAAACCTTTTGTGATAATCGCGGCTTACATCACATTAATAACTCTCCGCCAAGGCAAGCGATCAAATAGATTACTACGCTTTTCAAAGAAAAATCACCCAAGAAGTGACTAATAAACAAGTACTGTTCCATTACGCCAATTCGTGAGAATAAATAAGCGTAATACGCTACATATTAGCAATCAATAATTCTAATACTTTATTGCTACTACTACTCGTAGTCCACATTTGAATCAATTTTAAATTTCACTTCGATTTCAAATTCGAATGGTTGAAAAGAAAGACATTTACTACCAGAGGGCAGATAAATGAAGAAATAGTGGCTTTGTACGGACTGATGGTAGAAGTCATATTGTTCGGAGGGTTTGAACAAGTTGGAGAATCATCGGATTTAAGCTAACCATCTATTTTTTTAATTCTTTGAGTTAATATATTTGGATATGGAAAAAGTATGTTCGCAAAATTAAATTTGGTTACTTCAAAAACTGACTTTGAGATATATAGAGAAACGTATATGTCTACATTAGTTTTTGTTGTCCTGGCCAAAAATCTATGTTACCGATCTATGGTTTCCTATTCTTATATTAATGTGTTATAAATATATGGCAAGAATAAAGGTAAGGGTATGATATATGTATAGGATATATCCTAACACATTCGATATATGTATCCTGCATATATTTATAAATTACAAAACTCGTTTTAGTTAGCTTGAAACTGTAAACGTTTGGTCGCTAACGAATAGAGGTTTTGAAAAATCTGAAGACTCAGTTTAAAATGTAAATAATGCTATATATAACCATTTTATAATAGCAAGGTAAATTGCAGACCTAACAAATTTCGATGAAAAAATTAGTTTTGATAATTTTTAAAGTTCATTACTAACCTTTCTTTTTTCATATAATTCTGGATTGTCAAAACGATCTAAATCTGATATTGGAAATTCTGTAGGGTCGCAAATTTTCCGGAATTTTTTACAGGCTTCCACCCATAAAACAGAGACAATGGGTATATTAAAACGTTTTGCTGCCTTGTAAGCAGCAAGTGTGCCATCTTTAAAAATAACGTGAGTTGTATTACTGTAAATAGAAAAAATAAATAAATAAATTAAGGTGTGAGTAAAAAATGTTGTAATACAGAACATTTAATAATTTAAATTTAACGTTAAAAATATAACCCCCACCAATTAAATTTATAGTAAAAGTAAATATAGGGAAAACGACATAGATAGAGCTTTAAGATTTACTGGTTAAAATTCAATTAATTCCTTATGTAAAACTCAATTGCTTCAAAGCAACACTTTGTGTACTTCAAAATGTCTCTTGTCACTTTAAGTGCTAGAATTGTGGTGTAAAACAGCACCTTGTTTCCTCAAAATGTTCCTTATCGCTTATAGTGGTAGAATTGTGGTACAAAACGGCACCTTGCGCACTCCCAATTGTTTCTTGTCGCTTACAATGATAAAATTATGGTGCAAAACAGCACTATGTTTACTCCCAATTGTTTCTTGGCGCTTACAATGGTAAAATTATGTTGCTTGCAGTAGGAGAAATTTTGTATAAAAGGAACCCAAATTGTGACTTTCGTTCCATTTGTGATTTCGCACCATTGCAGGTTCCACATTGCTGACTTCAACAATCTCAACGATCCCAACGTTTCGAACATTTAATAGATTCATAGTACCTCTGCTTGTTCTAAGTCCACTGATATTTGCAGAGTATCTTTTGAACAATGATGTGAGTGTTGTTGTTGTAATCCGCTGGGACTTGATTGTTAAGTTCTTTTGGAAGGTGTCGAAAGGCAATTGGAGTGGGCCGATACGTAAACCCAGCCATTCTTGGAACCTAACGATGTGAATCGGATGCTTACCTTGTTCCCGCAGTTTATGATATAATAAATAATTTATTATTATTATTATTTATTAATGTTATTTTTGATTCCTCCTCAATTTACACTAATAATTTACAATTATTAATTATCAGCGCACTTTAACAATATTCCACAGTTTGGTTCATAAAAAAAAACTGTATTGTAGTATCTTCGTCTTACGTTGTTGTTTTAGCCCGCTGGGATATGCTTGTGTGACCCCTTTGGGGATGTCGAACGGCACTTGCTCGTCTTCGATAAGTGTCTCCGGGACGTAAACCCGGCCGTTCTAGAGACCTCCCTCTTTCGTCATTCGTAATTTTCCAGTTCCTCTTTCGTAACTACTTTAATTAAATCCATTTAACTTTATTTTAGTATTTTTAACTTGTAACAAAAATCCATAACATTACATTAGATTGATTTTTTGATAAATTGCCTTATAATATATTTCGCCATTGTAATCAGTTAATGAGCTATTTCACAATCGCAATTATTAAATATATTGAAAAAATTAACTAATAACTCTATTAATATACAAGTCAAAAAATTATATATGCAAACAAATAACTTACATTGTAACTTTTCCCATTACTTTAGCACCAAGTGATAATATGACTTTTTTAATTCCATCCGTTCGATTATCTTCGCCACTGCGTACGTCGACATATGCGACAACACCTTTCATGATATCAGTCATGGCAGTTGGTGGTTCATCGGGTATATATAGACTCTGCTCTCTTAGTGATACATCAAAGTGTGAATATGGCGACATTATTGGATTTCTGTAAGATTCCAATTCAAATATTACACATATAAAAGATAACTAATTTTGTCTTACTTCAAGGCATTCAAAGCACGCATTCTGACAGTTGCTGATGGACTATTTACATCGCGTTGTATGCGAGTCATAATTGACTTGTTTTTTGGTGTTATAGATATTGGTGCATTTATTGGTTTACTATTTAAATCTATGTTTGATATGACGCTCCTGCAGTCGTCGACTATTATACTTGAAACTGGAGTTGGAAAACCTGATGCTCCATTTGTTGTGAATGTATGGATCGATTTCGTTTTCGTTCCATGTTCACTATGTTCGTCTGTTGAATTGATAATTACGTTTTACAACATTATTTAATGCAAAATTAGAGAAACAATAATATGAAACAATAATGGACTAAAGGTAAACGCAAATTTTCTACGTCAAAATATTTTTCTATTGTCACTTTCCAAAGCTTTGTAAAGCTTAAAATGACAGCGCAAACATTCAGTGCTACCAAACTATAAGTTTTTCTCTTACCGCTGCTCATTGAACACACTGCCAAGCATACACGAAAATTTAATTAAGTTGCTTTTGAGCGCCCCACAAAGGAAGTTTTTTTTTTGTTTTTTAATTTTGTTTTTGTTTAACTAAAATATATTTATACAGTCATATTTGGAAGTCCTAACTAAATTTCATTTTTTTGTTCTTTTTTCTACTTAATCTAACAAATATATAAAAGCATACTTACTAGTTATTTTATTTTCAATATTATTAGATGGACTTGGTTGACTATTTTCGTTATCAACAAACTGTGATTGTTTTAATGTTTGAAATTGATTAGAATCTGAGCTGTTGGAACTGCAACTAAGGCCACTGTCACTTAGTACTTCAAATAATGGCTGATCAGACGGCATTAATAGCATGCTAATTCGGCGATCAATTTTTATAACTTCTTTATCAGTATTATTTGAGGTAAATTGTAATTCTTTTAAGGGTTTTGTTTTATCAGTTTTTTTTATTGTTTTTATTGTTCTGTTATTTAAACTAAAACGTGTCTTAGATTGCAGCACAGCCGAATTGTAAGTCTTTGTTTTCCATGTTGATTCGCGCACAACGAATTTATCCATATTTTTAAGAAAAAAATTCTATTGCAATATACCAGGGTATCTTATAAAACAATTATTAACTGTATAATATAATATAATAAAGAAACAACATTGATCACTAAAATTGCACACTCCGCCAACGTTAAAAATAATTTGAATATATGTATACTTTGAATGTATGCGTAATCGCGTTGTTGAGCGGTGATGTGTTTTAAAATTGTGACAGAAACAGCTGCCATAGTAGAAGGGCTGTTTTCATACGTCATAAGTGATCGTAAATATTTTATTATTTCATTAATTTAAATATTCCTTTATTAAAATTTCCACAAACTTGCAGTTTTATTTTTATCAAATTAATTTCTGTTTACATAAAATGTTTTTCTCATTTCAAATCATTTTTTGAAAATATAAATATTAATAAGTGTTGAAGATCATATAATTCATAATCACGTAATTTCGAAATATAATTTTCAGATAAAGTTCAAGGGTTTTTGTTATACTTTCCTTCAGTTTTGTTTTGATGTAATTATAATTTCATTAGTAATAATAAATACTCTTAAAATTTTTGTAATTGTCTATGTTTGTTCATAGTTTATTTATAATTCAATTAATAATTTTTATAATAATTTATATATTTAAACAAGCGTTTCAAGCGTAACTTCGAGCATTATATAATATTTAATAAGCAACAATATGATTTAGATCTTCTTTCCTGAAATGATCCGTTCCACAAATTAGAAAAGTTGGCAATGCATCATTTTTTCCCTGTATTTATTTGTTGTTTGCAACTCCTTGCTACTTTTGATTATTCACTTTATTCTTAAGCCTAGTATTAACACTCTTTTCGCATAAAAAAAATGACATAAAAAAATGTTCCACAGTGTCGAAATTTTGTGGAATATATTCTAATATTAAGTTTTATGTCAATTTTTCCTGCGGAATGAATGTTAGTGAACCACATTAGCCGTATTTCAGCAAACAATAATCTTGATTTTCTTCACTGAGATGATACGGATCACAAGTGAAAGTAATTGGCAACGCAACATACATGTCAGCTGTGTTTGTTTACAAAATTTTGTTGAGATTTGTATGAATAATTTTGGCGCTAAAAGAATTATTGAAAAAATATTAACTATAAAAAATAAAAAATCGCAAATAATTAAAAAAAAGATAAAATCTGCTGAAATGTCTGAATTTTGTTTATTATTTACTTTAAAACTTTACTTAAATTCTGTAGTAAATAAGTAAAAAAAAAAAGATTTTAACAGATTTATTGAGCGACGGTAAAACTAACTCTTTCCGTCCTATTTTAAACACTAGTTGAAGTATATTAAGTTCTGGGGATGAAGTGTGTTAGCACGGAAATATTGGGAATTTTATAATTCAAATTTGCATAATAATTATTAATTTCAGCACTAAAAATACAGCTCTATTTTTTTCCGCCAAAATCTATTTTTTCACTTCCCTTGTGTATTTTTTTATTGTAGAGTATCATATGTTAAAATCGCATTGCCAATGACATTTTGTATAAAAAACATATATTCCACTTTAATTTTGTACATACATTGAATTAGAATCAGTTCAATTGCTGGTCCACTCCATTGTCAAGGCTTTGCATATAAATTCGGTGGATCATTGTTTGCTATGCGGATCATTAAAGCCCTATGCTCCAGTGGGACATATGGGAACTGATGATGATTGTTTGCTAAAACACAGTTATTATGTGACAAATTTTCATTGCCGGTCAAATTTTGAATTATTTACGTTATAATTTTGTTCCACATTGAACCAGAACCTGAACCAGAGCAATTGATAGTTCATCGTATTGATATTGTGTCCTGTGTTATTTCATTAGATCATTCTTTGCTAAAAGAAGATCAAAGAGTCGATTGGTAGACGATGAAATTAAGACAAACAGAACAATAGGAATATAATAAATAATTACGTTTAATGCGACAATTGATCACATACTAATTAGCACTGCACATCTATGAAGAGAGGGAATGCTTAATAGTTATTATAAATTCGTTAGGCTGTATTAGCATACTGAAAAGGGTTATCTATTTCATGGTCCTGTTCTCGTGGTTTTGTTTTAGTAACATATGTTATGACACAAATCGTTAAATCTAATTGGTACAGTCACATGGTTGAAATATATGAAGTCTACAGAACGGTGCCATAAGCCATAATCCACATAATACATTTTGGAATAATGAACCCCCATCTTTAAAATGAATTTTCTTTCGGTGACAGGTGTTTAGTGCTTAAATTTATTTATCATTTCTTTTATTATATTATTTAAAACTTGGTTGAAAGAGTTCAAAGTACGTATATATATATGGTATATTATCATAAATATTATTATTACAATGCTAACTAGAAATAGAGATAAGTGTACTTGGTTTAATTCAATTACCACATCAATCCACACTTAGTGTGTTGGATATATATATTTACTCTTATCTATGATAATATATCTGAAACAAAATTTTTAACTCTAGACTTTTCTGTTTTTTTTTTAGAGTGAAGTAATCCATTTAATTTTTCTAATATAAAAAATATAAAAGAAATATGTCAGGCAGGAGCTTATATAGGGACTTATAAAAGTTGGAGTTATTGAAAACTAAATCAAAGTTTATGTGAAAAAATGTAATTGCAAATAATTAATCTGACATATATTAGGGTGAGTTGAAAGCCCAATTTTCCCTTATATATATATGCTAATGACCTCATATTAAATTCATTTTTCTTCTACAAAACTTACGAGAACATCTAAGTCTTTTTGATTGTTCTTTATATTTTGGTACATATAGAGTAAATGTAGATAATACAAAATAAATTAAACAATTCAAATGCTGTGTTTACATTTACAATTATCAAAACTGATAAGTACATATTCGTATGAATTTAGTATAAAAAAATAGAATTTGTCGAGTTAATTGTGATAGTGTGAACGCTATTTAGTTAATTAAAAAAAATAATTGTTACTATTTTAATGTTTTTCTTTATTAAGATTACAAGTAAATTATTTTATACAATGATTTTAATATAAAATAATTAAATATGTATAAATTATGGAATGATTCTTAACTTATGTACATACGCAAATATTATTTACATTAAAATATATTATTTAACTATTTTGTTTATATCTCAAATAACATATTTTCAGCTTAAACTGAAGTATTCGTTTAAAGAATTTCTAAAATTGAAAGCTGACAAAATTAATTCATTTTGGGCACATTTAGGACATTTTTCAGTCTTTAATAATTTAAAAACAAAAAGTAAAAAAAAACCTAATATATATATTGTATATAACATATAGAGAAAACTATGGCAAAATTTTTTTTATACAATAAATTGATGAGTACTTAAAAATTTTTTTTAAATTTTTAGCTCCTTTTCTAGGGGAAGAAAAATATGCCAAAATACAATATCACTTTGAAAATAGTTCCCGACTTTCGAGTTCGGTTTCCTGGTATTTATGGTCTACATTTTCCAGTGATTAATTTCCAAATAAATTGAGATTAGGTTAAACTAACTTCTCCGATGCAAGATATGTAGAGTGCTCTATTCTGAAATGAATAAAAAAGTACAAGTTAGAGAGAGATATTTAATGGAAGAAATAGAGACGGAGACAGTTAGAAAGCGATAGACGTGGTTCGAATTAAGAAAAAAATAGAGAGTGATTAAGAGAGAGTAAGAGGTAAAGACTTACCATGTGCACTAATTAGACTACGAGCATCCCATAATGATAATTGTGACTGTGATAGACGATGATGATGTTGTGAGTACAATTTGTATGGATAATAGGTGTGTTGATGAAACGTTGCGATAGGCAATGGCTGCGTTGGTTGTGGTTGCAGTTGTTGTTGTTGCTGTTGTAGGAGTATATGTTGAGATGCAGATATTTTACGTGATATTTTCGACTCCTTCTTAGGTTTACACTGCTTGGACGAGGATTTAATGAAATTCGGTATACGTGCTAATAAACCACAATAATAAGGATCATCTTGTTTTTTACGATGCACAGATTTGCTCTTCTTTTCGGAAAGCATTGGCACTGATTGATTGTAAATTTCATAATCGGGCTGGAATAGAGATATGTATATATATACAATTCTATAACTTTTATTCTTAATAAAAATAAATCATCTTACCTTTGGCACATAAGGACTTTCATCTAAGAATCCGGCATTATACATACTACGTCTGCCTTTACTTGAATTATTTGAATTGTTTGAATCATCGGAGGCAGCTGGTGTTGGATATATTAAACCAACTTGACTTTCAATAGTTGAATATGGATCTTCACTACCATTGGTAGGTATACGCATACCCATGGCATCCAAAGATTTTGGTATAATTTGTAAACGATTTTTTAACATATCTATGGCGACCACATTTATGACCAATATCCAGAGAGGGCTGTTTATAATATTATTATTCGATTTCACCAATGAAACAGCTGATAAGCATTGTCGTTCCAAGCGACTGCTCTCAGGATATGTGCGCGAAAATTCACGATTTATATTGGTGGTATATTTGCGCATATCAAAGAGCTAGAGACGGATACATAAAAGTATGATTTTATATACATTATAAAATATTTAATGTTTTTGTAGACTTACCTTAGCGGAAGTGCCAGCTGTTAGGGCCATATTTGGCATTTGTAGAATGTCCGCTCCAATGACTGTTTCCTCATTAGCCATGGAAGTGTTATGTACAAAGACGCTACTCTTACCATAGCGTTTTACAAAGATATTCCCGATATCGTCCATTTTTATTTTAAATCCATCTCCAATCGATTTTTTAGCAGATTTTGTATCTGCATCACGCATAGGATTGTCAAAACCATTCAATCCGATACTAAACATTAAAAGAAGAGAAATGGCTTACATTATTATGGGTAGATACTAAAGAAAGGTTCTTATATTAAATAGTTTAATTAATTAGACAAGAAAAATTTGAGAACTTTTTAAAGAAATATTGTAGTTAGAGAGAAGATGAAACTTTAAACCAGAGAGTGAGTGAGAGTAGGTAAGACATATAATAAATAGACAAAAGGAGAGAGTGACTCTCTAGTCAAAGAAGATATGGGGAGGGGTGTTTGGGTTAGGCTAAGATCCCTATGCACTGCGACCAGCTTGATATATTATGCTTGATCCTCAAAGATTTAGAGGACTTCTTCTGCTCATTGAGGCTCATGTGATGGTGCTATATCCATCTACAAGTCTTTGTTTGCCGTTAAAGCACAGAAGTCCTGTGATTATATTTTCCTTATATTTTTAAAAATTCGTTAAAGGAGTACGTACATAACTTTTTTTAGAAAATAGTTCAAGATTGTATTACTTAAAGAAAAGATAAGGCAACTGAAATATTTGACATTTGAACATTATGTACACATAAAGTCCAGTGAATTGATAGAATTTTCTTTTTCTTAGTACTCAATTCTCTGAAAATGATTACGTTTAAGAAAATTAAAATTATGTTTTACTCTAATACTAATTCTTATTCTAAAAATTTTAAGTTAAATTGAAAGACTAGTATATTAGCAAAGAATTATTTTCAAAATCTCAGAAAGTTTTTTTCTATCATCTATCATGTATATATTGCTTTTAACTTACCGTACTCCGTCGAAACCATTTTTGGAACCATTTATCGTTATCACTGATGATCTTGCATATGCTTTAGCTATTCTACGATTTTTCTCAAATATAATTACTTTAGCCCAGATCTCGTCGTCAATCTGATCCCATTTGGCTAAAACTTCATTGATATGATCCTAAACATAATAATGTATAAGAAAATTAATAGTTATTATTATTTAATTTTAGATAAAAATAGTGTACATACCCTGAAGAGTTTCTCTTTGTCATACCAAACATCCTCCTCCTCATCAGTATTGGGTCCAATTGCATCCAAATTGTCTAATGAGCGTGAAATTATTTTTCTTCGTGATATCATATTTGTAATCTTTTCTTTTTGTGCTACGTTTGGCAAAAATTGAAGATCCTTCAGTCTTTCTTAAAGAGTTTTTAAAATGACTCTGTAAATAAAGGAATTTGGAATTAATATATAAATAAAGTAAAAGTGATCTAAAAAAAATTATTATATGCAGAGTAATTTATAAATAAGTAAATACTATAATCCAGAAATTATAGATTAAAAACTAATAAAAATAAAAATAATTATAAATGAAATAAAATAAGGTAAAATAAAATAAAATAAAATAAAATAAAATAAAATAAAATAAAATAAAATAAAATAAAATAAAATTAAATAAAATAAAATAAAATAAAATAAAATAAATTTAAAATAAAATAAAATGAAATAAAAATACAATAAATTAAAAAAAAATAAAATAAAATTAAATTAAATAAAATAATACATAAAAAAATATAATGGGAGTTACAAATAAAATTAAATAAAATATCTCATAAATATAGCTTATAATAATTATTTCATACATAACTAATAGTAAACAAATAAAAGTAAGTTAGAAATAAAAGAAAAGAAAATAAAATACAAAAAAAAAAAATAAATAAATAAAATAATAAAAAAAATAAAGCTATTTATAAAAACAAAATATAATATAATAAAAAAAAAATATATAATATTTTTTTGCTATAAGATAAATATAAATGGATATAATTTAAGTCTAAAATGATTAGTTATATTGAATGAGTTAAAAAAATGCTTCATAAATTATATTTATAAAGGATAAAAAATTAAATAAAAAAAAAATAAAATAAAATAATAAATAATATTTAATAAAATAAAATAAAATTTAAGTAATATGAAACAAATATGTGCTATTTTTTGCATTAATATAAATTGAAATGATTAGAATTCAAAATATATATAGTAATATTAAATAAGTTATAAAAAAAAATGCCTATATAAATAAATTCTTTTAAATAATTAATAATATATTCACATGCTCTTTACCAATTACAATCCCATAAAAGATGTTCAAGAATGTAACACAACCCAATATGAATATTAATATATCATGAGAAGAGAGGTAAATAACTGAAGAAAGGAATGCATATGAAAATAATTTTTTTCTTGTTTATAAATGCAAAGAATAAATTTAATATTAATATTTATATATATACCATAACACTTAAGTAATTATATATGTGATTTGTTTGAAAAATTATAATGTCTTTATCAGCGGCACAAGAGTATATGCAAAGCACGTTCCAGATTAATTTGACAGGCAATTTCTTCCTGATTTCAATCGAGTCATGGAAAAGTTATAATTTTAACAAATAATTTATTATATTACCCTTATATAAGAAATTTATTAATTCACATAAATAAACAAATATTGAGATATAAATCAATTTAAAGGGTTTTTTATTTTTAAGTTTTTGGAAAGTATAAATGTGATTAAGGCTATGAGATTATATCGATAGATGACCAAAGTACTTGTATTGCGTTGAATGTAGCAATGAAATTATTTAAGAACAAATGAGTCCTGTAGCTTCTATTTGCATCCATGGAACATAAAATATATATCTAGTAACATCACTGGTTTTTATTGAACTGAGAAAAGTTGAGTCATTTGAGACAAAAAGCATAGTATTGCAAGGTGTACCAACCATCCTTAGATTAAATCATAGGTTATTCCTATAGATAGCAATGGTGTTGTGTACCATTGTTCGTTTAAATAACAATAAATAAATCAACATAAACTTTGGATTATTTGTTTATGTCGCGATAGATCTTACTTTCATTCATATTAAAAAAAGAACAAAAAAATAAGATTTAAGAAAATTTTTGGAGTCCATTTAACTAGGCATATAAAGATTTTTATCTGAATATTTTTTTTGGCGATATTCTTCTAAAAGAAGTTGTTTGGTTGCAGTGGCAGGGCATTACCTAAGTTTCATATACCTCAATTAGAGATTTTTCGCCATTTTAGACGAACTTAGAACATTTAATCTTCGGTTTTTAGTTCTTTACCGATGAACAGTCAAAGAAGTATCTTTCTAAAAACCTTTTTCTTTAAAATTTATATTAGGAACATTTCTAGTTTGGTTTCTATAACAGAATATTTTAATATTTCAAAGCCTGTACATTTGCATAGAAAGTGTTCAGTTGTATATTTTATTTCTAACTCTCTGTATCTTCTGCAGTTCTCGTCATAGGGTATACTTAATTTTTCGATATGTGTACTTAGAGGCCAGTGATATGGCAAAGGTTAGGTTAGGATATGGGTTGACACAAATTCGACTGGGAGAGACGAGCTATACGGACCGGTTTTTTCTTCATATTAGAGGTTTTAAAACTGAAACGCCTTTCTGGGATTATTACTCTATGTAGGAGAATGTTCTTTATTTAAAACGTTAGTATCAAATTTCCCTGTCTAGTACCTTTTAATCCATCATTAATCATGTTGAATTAGCATAGTGACAGAAAGGTAAAAGAAACTAGTTAAAACTTGAGTATTTAACTTTAATATGTGAATGAAAAAATTTATATATTTAAAATCTAAAATAATAAATAATTTCTACAGGTGTATTATATTCTCAATATATATTAGGCTAATGATGGCACAGAAAATTACTACGAATCAACTGTTTAGGGTTTCCATATTATATTAAATTAAATCAATTTTTTTTTTATAAATATTACTAAATATTAATTTAGCCTTTACAGGCTTTTGTGAAGAAAATAAAAAAAAACTAAGACATTAAGTTACAATATAAAATATGTCGGCGGCATTAAATAATAAAAAATAATAAATATTTTAAATTTAAGTTTTAATTTTTATTTATTTATTATGCTAACAATTGATTTAAGCTTAAAAACAATAACTACAGTTAGCAATATACAGTCAGTAACTGTCACTGTTAATAACATTCAATGGCAGCATTGAACTGTTACAACTTAACATTTTATGTTAATTTCGAGTGTATGTTGTACTTATGTTCTATGTGGTCACCAACCACAAAGTTTTTGTCGTATGTAAGTGCTTTTAAATTCTGTTAGCTCTAATATACAGATTTATATGTGGTATTCAATATTTTTTATAATTTTATTAATTTTATTTAATTCGGAAATGCCAGTATATTCGTGATATATTCACAATAAAATCGATAGTATTTGAATGGATTGAAATGACTGTGCTCCTTCTAAAGTCAACACAGTACATTTATTCAAGTTTTATGCAATTTGAATTTAATGGATTTGCTTACTTTATTACATTTTGACTCTTTTAAATTTTAAAATTAATTAAAATAATTACTTTAATTAAAAAATTATTTGATTTGTAAGTTCATTAACCCAAAATGGGTTTTTATTTCTATTTAATGTGGTTTTGCCTTTTTGATATATAAACAACTTTTGATTTTTTTTTCAAATATTTATTTTGCTAATAAAAATTTGTCATTTCTTAAGTGTGTGGGTGTGGCTCTTACAGTTTTTAGAGTTTTATTTAAATTATTTTTTTTTGAATTTGTTTCTAATGTTTTAAGATAAAAGATTTACCACAAAGTCCGGCTGTAAAAAAAAAAATTTGAAAAACGACTTGATAATTTCTTTAGAGGTTTTAATGAAACTTTCCTCAACCATATAGAGATTGACATAATTCTTAACGGATATTAAGTTTTTTTTTCACTTAAAAAGGTGTTTTTAATTAAGAACATTGAAGATAAGTGTTGACACATAAAATTATATACAATATATGTATATATACAATATATGTTTTTAATATTGGCAAAAATTTTATTGAATAACCAAACAAAAGAATTTTTTTCTATTTTATTTTGAGGTATCTATTAAAATGGACATTAAAGCTCAGAACCCTTTTTTTGTGACGATCTATTCTTAGCAAACATAGACCATATATACTCTGTAATAACAAATGTCAAACTGTGTTAAATATCATGAGAGGATTAAATACACAGAGTTTAAAAATCGAGGTTTTGAAAAGTGAACCTAATCTGCTCGGAGTGCATATTACCAGTTAAAAATATTTGGAACAATAATAATAAATTTGATTTTAAAGTAAATTATCACGGTTAATTATATGGTTTCCATATTTGTTAATAGAAACTATTGTATACAATATAAAAGTTTCGAACAATAGTAAATTGCAACACCAACATTTTTTATTAGTTGAATTTTTGGCTGACCACATGACTGTTTTGAGTATTGCCAAATACTTATCATCAGTTTTCTTTTGGAAATATTACTTGTACCTAATTATTCCTTAATAATTTTTTGAAATTGCAAGTACCAGGTGTTGAACTCGTGCTCCACCAAATTTCAAGCTCGGAGTTAGTGTTAGTGTTAGTGAAAGTTTTTATAAACAAATTCCTTTATGATAACTCGGTAGCGTAGTACGTCAAAGATTATATATATATGTACATATAATATAATACCAACTAGCACAACGGCATTAAATCAAAGTGCATAAAGATAATATAATATATATACAGTGGTTCCTAGTACAACGGCGGTCTTAAGCCAATGTATTGAAGAGTTTCTATATATAGGCAAAGGAGTATAGAATATCAGATATAATATGCGAACGCATATATTACTAATATATATATCTCATTAATCTCACTAATCTTATATTCTTCACACATAGGTATCCCGACAAAAGCACCGAAATCCAAACTACCAACCTACTCCATCATCATTCATCATTCAACCGAAGCTGTGTTATATTAGAACAAACTTATAAACGAGCTATAGACTAATAGGATAAATTAATTAAAACAATAATAATATCTCTAGTCCTAGAAGTAGTCCTAGAAGAAGTAGAGCCGTTTGAGTCACTAGTGAAATTAAACATTAGTGAACTTCAGAGTTTACTTTACTTTACCGTATGAACTGTTCACAGAAATAATCATATAATCAGTTAGAAATTAGAATGTGGTGAAGTATCGGTGCGAAAGTGATAATAGGAATAATGGATTTGGGCGCCAATTTCACTAAACAAGTAATCACAAATACTCGTATTGGAATCGTTATGTACTACATTCTATATATTTTTAAATATTTTAAATATGCATGTATATA